AATTTTTTTAACCATAAATTAAATAGTAATTTTTATTTCTTTACTGTATATATATATATATATATATATATATATATATATAGCTTGAATAAAAAAAATCATTTTTATTAAATATAACACATTTAAAATAAAAAAAAGATAAATATTTAAAATAAATTAGAGTTCGAATTCAAATGAAGCGAGCGGTGAGAGACGACGAGGAGACGGGCCCCACATCGGGGGCTACTCGCAGTAACGTAACTCACCGGTTTGTCTCTCTCACAGACCCGGTCGTGGGACCCACCGCGTGGCGGGCCTCGGGCACCGACCGCCGCTCGTGATGGCCCCCACGGGCCCCATGTGCTTTGTCGCAGATGTATCCTCTTGCGGGTGACGAATCCGAGGGGATGCGAAAGAAAGGATCCATTGATTTTGTAATATCGGATGAATTTATTACTATTATTATGTTGAGCTTAAATATTTCAATCAGTAATCTAAGCTAAATTAGGCTAATGAATCAATCATCTAATCATCCTTTTACGATGGCATGAATATATACGATAAGACCCTAGGATCTTTATCGTAGAAAAAAAGAAGAAAAAAAAGATGATCATCTCGAGGGGATCGACCTCCTTGATCGTTTCGAGAGGATCAACCTCCAAGGGTTTGTCAAAAAACTTCATAATAATATTTCATTATCTTTTAAGAGAAACGGTTACATCACTATTTATAGAGTTCCATCCGAATTCTAATAATAAATAAATATTAAATAAATCTCTATCTGATTCTAATTGAACTAAATAAAATCAATAAATATTATTCAAAAGCTAATAACATAGTTTCGCCTCTACTAGCAAAATATATCTATTTTACTATCATCAATGAATTATTTTTCTTATGTAAATAAACACATTATTTAGCTAAACAATATGAACACAAATAGCCTCCTCCTTAGCATCCAATCTTAAGGAAAAGATTCTGAAGATAATAACAATCTTGTGTTGCATCAATTCTTCTAATCCACCTAACACAGTTGACTTACTAATTTGCTTTTGTGTTGGCTTCCTTACACAAACTTATGTATGGCATAAGTCTTACACTGCCATTACATTAGACTATGGATTATAATAAGAAAGAAAATCTTCAGAATGCAAGAATTAAATATTCTCACTCTACAAAGGTGAACATGATTATATTCTTTTTTGGACATTGAAACAGGGAAAGAACTAATGCAGCAATTAATGAGGGACCTGCCCTCAGTCTTGTCTCAGGCAGCAACTGATATTTGTGACAATGGTGCCAATAATTCTTCAGCACAAAGGAAAAGGACATCTCTGATTGATTGCCACTGGAACAAAAAAAATGAAGAAAAACTTTCAGATAGACTTGGATCGAGCAATGATTGATCGCTCGCAAAGGACAACAAGGGCAGAAACATGATAAGAAGAGGTAACTAATGTGGCTGGGAATCCATTGGAAGATGTGGAGGTTTCAGTAGAACTGTGGGTGATCAAAGCGAGCCAATTCTTAGTTTTGTGTCATCAGTAGATCAAACAAGGCTACCACATCAACTCTGTTCGACAAGAAGATGAGCCTTCTTCATACAATGACAAGATTTGATGGTTGCTATTTGGATAACACAGAAACAACAGTCAATATATAATTTTCTTCTCGAGCATGAATTCATTAAGACTGCTCACCACCTATTTTTAAGAGCACTTTGAGACATACCGGTCAAATTGGATCACTCAAAGAATTAATATGTATTCTTCTTTCCTCCTGCAAAGTCATATTGTGTTTCGGATATATATATCAGTGCAGTTAATCTCCATTAAGTACTTTTAGTTAACTGTTAAATCAGGACTCTAAATTTATATCCTTATTTCACTTGAATATAAATGTAATTAATCTGGATTTTAAATACTTGGAGAGACATATATGCTGTTCTTTCAGGTCCAGATCAATCAAACTCTTGAATGCTGTTCCCAGTCCTATCAAGAATCCTTCAAATACTATCTATCTATTGAGTGTGGAAGCAGCAAACACAGTCAAAGTAGGGCTATGATTTATCTATCCACAAATGGCGTGCATTCCGATCCACCTAAAAGCTCTTTTCCCTAAACTGATGCCTTGTTTCTAATTCTTGGATGATTTAGAGTGACTATATATATATGATAAGCATCTCTTGTTCTTGAGCATGATCAGGTCAACTGGCTTCTGCATCAAGATCCCCCCGAAAAGAAGGTAAATTAATCAGGTTATCAGATCGCATTTGGCAGATCAATCAATCCCCTCATTCATTTGAACTCTCAATTCTTTATGATGAGATCCAGAACAGTGCAATCCTGCAGGTGGAAACAATTGGTATGTAATCTCAATCTGACCTTTGTCCAGGTCATATTCTAATATCTAGTCAGTCTAATGATTAAGATCCACATGCTACTCTCATCGGTTGTGGCCATGACTGGACTCTTGTCCTCTTGTATATAGTCAGTCTATCAAGACTTGTTTACTATTGAGGTTGAAGCCATACGCTAAGAATCAGCAATGGTACTGCCAAGAAGAACAGCATCAATTATTTGTATGAGTAACCTAACATAGTTTCTCAGAAGAACTCATCTCAGTTCGTGATGAACAACACCCTACATGAGTTGCATGTGAGAAGTATGATTGCCAGCGGCATCTCTACTGTGCGTCAACTCATCAGGCTTTAATACCAGCAGGCAAAGGGAACATGGTTTCGTCGAACACTTGGGGGAGGCATGCACATGAAGGATAACCCGGACAGCTCCCACATGGCGTATGGGGATCCCTTGCTTAAGAAACTAATAGTTGTAGAGCTCCTTCAGCGAGCATCTTTCTTCTCTTCCATCACAGGCCATGCCGGATCGATCCAGTTTGACCACTGGAAGCATGTGCAGATCCGGTACGGAGATGGATCGGCATCTGCATTCTTTTACTGAGATCGGGTAGCGTCCGGATTAGGGTTACAGCGGCATGCGAGTGTTGGTATTGAAGTGCTTGGGGCCATCGTTATGGTGAGTTGGTGGTCTCACATGGATGGGGGGCGAAGGGTTTACATGAAGGAGAAGCGCTTGAAGAAGACAAGCAGACAGAGAACCCGTGGCTTACCCGGACACATGCATGCCATGAACTACTACAAACTGCTACGTATCTCCAACCACCTCCCAATCATACGCAGGAGAGAAGAGACAGTGGCGTCCCACCAACAGTTGATTCGACGACCCCAATGATGAGCGAGTGGGAGAGAAGGTGGCATGGTTATTGTCATCAGTAGAGCATTATGCTTGACGGGCACGGTGCTCGTGGCTTTCGAGTTGATGGACATCGATGGATGCCTTCTTCAGTCTCTCAGGTTCATGCACTTGCCAACGAGTAAAGACACCGGGCAAGCGAAGTGGATATAAACTGGTCAACGAGACATGAGGTGAGGAACACAAGTGAAGGTGGCCAGGAGGCTACTCAAGGTTCTTCTCTTTCCTCTTTTTTTGGCTAAACAAGGAAGAAGTCAACGGTGATCAGGGATGATGAATGAGCACATGAAGTGTTTTGTGCTGTTAGTTGGTGCAATCGGTTGACTATGATATCTTAATCTTCTTGTTTATATATGGCTTCTTCTGGATTCTGGATCTGCGCTAGCTTAGTTTCAGAAGCCACACATTTGTTTTTGGCTAAACAAGAGAGGAAGAAGGCATTGCAATGCCACACCACATGCCTTTACGTCTAAATCATAAATGCAATTTCCATTAAGCATTCATGCTGTCAACTCACCCACACTTCTCTATCCATAATTAATGTAGTTTTTATTATAAAATCATATTTTTTTAAAAATTTTTTAAAAAATCTAATTGATAATTTCGATTATTTATATCCTAATCTAAGTAAGAAATCATGATTAATTTCATCAATTCTTTTTAGATTCTATGTTGTTTAGGACTTAACAAAGTCCCTCTATTTCCATCTTCTATGGCCTGTTTGGTGCTTCTGACATGTATGAAATTGACTGATGTGTGTGTCAGTATTGATGAAGCTTAATTTTCACGATGGACTCGTCGTAGGTACCGTAAAACAACAACGACAATAACAAATAAAAATAAATTGTATTATTTTAATTATTCGTTTGCCATCGACTAGACTTGTAGATGATAAAATAAGATGATGTTTTTCTAACCTACCCCTCCTCATCATAAGGATAGATAAGACGGAGTTTGCAACAAGCATCAACCATAAACATCTCTTCAATGATTATGAACCGAAAAGTATAGTGATTTTATTTATATCTTTTCTATTTTATTATCTTCAGATATGCCCTCTTATTATAATTCTTTTTCTTTTAATAATCCTCCTCATTATGTATGTATGTATAGAAAGATGAACGGATAGATAAATAGAGATGGAAAGAGATAGCATCTATAATAATTGAACTACAGTGAAATATATTTCCACATGCATGAACGAGTTCAACCAAGGAGTGCATTTGAGCCTAATGTCTTATCAGGATTGACTCAGCAAAGCATCTTTAATGATCTGAGGCAACGTGATAACATTAGTGGCTATCATGAATAAAGACTGATAAAATTGCCCATCATGAAGAAGGTTATAAAAACCATAGTAGTAACCCAAGCTTTCTCATGGCAATCAACCTTTCCTCTTGAATGATGAGAAGAACAAGTAGCTCACTCATCCAAGATTACTCTCCCCAAATGGTACACTTGCGTGTATTCACACGTCATGATATGAAATAAACTGTGACTCGGTAAGGTCCCAAGTGTTTTAACTCGGTTTCCACTGCATCAGTAGCTGCCGGAAAAGTTGTTGAAAGGATTTATCCTCTTACTTCAGAGACATGTAACAGCAGATTTGTACTTTAAAGAACTCTAGAGGGAACTCAAACATTTTCTGCAGCACCTTCATGTGATGTCCCTTCTAATTTCCCCGTCGCGGATAGTTTCTCAGCTGCTAGTCTTTGTTCCAGTGCCCTTGCTCCCCGTTCTCTGTAGCAGAATCAGGTCACTGAATTAGTATCTACGGTGACAATGTTCTGATGCGTACCATGAACATATCTATTAAGTATCTATGTCATCAATTACATGCATCGTTTGATACACCATACAACCCTGTTTCATGCAGCAAAACTTGGGTTAGTAGCATCATCATGCATGAAAGACATTGTTCATCAGACAAAAAAAAATGCAAAACCTGATAACTGCAACAAACAGTCAAGGACAACCAAGCTAGCAGTGGACGCTGCACCAGTCAACATATTATAGGTATTTATCAAGACATCATAGGTATTTCTTCCCAATATCAGAAACCGTGCTAGATTTGACATTTACAACATGTAGCAAGGTGTGTGTGTGTGTGACCGCTTTACCAAGCGATACAAGTCTTGTACCGAGCCCTGCACGTATTGCTTGATTTATCTTGGTCCACATACTGATAGGCTATTAGACCAGTAAATACCGTCCTGCCAAATCACCATCCTAGGAAATCTTACCATGCAAATCTTGACCTAGAATATGATGGAATTCAACACACATGCATCTAAGATTGTCTTGATCAATATAAAAAAGGTTGGATTTGGTTTGAAGTGTCCTAGAGCATGTTTTACTGTAGAAACGATTTTTTGATTATTTATTTTGTGTTGGATAATGAACATTTTGTTTCTAAATTTTTTAATAATGTATACATCATGCTCCGTGGAGCTCATTGTTGATTTATTTTTTGCCCCAATATTTAGTTTCCAGCTGGAAGGACTAGAACCCCACATGCGTCGCATACCACAATGACTGAATTGAATATTTGACTTTGATCAGCTGTTAACAGGAAGTACATACTCTTAAAGAGAACTTTACAAATTTGGTTGGTCATCTATGACTGTATAACAGAGTCGCTGAGAAGTACTTATTTATTTCTCACTAAAAGATATTTTGCAGAACTGTACTATCATCAACTCCTTCAATGATCAATTTGTTGATACTAGAAGAACCACTGCAGTTTGAAAGTCAACGATAATATTTTTATGTCTATTTATGTTTACACATTATCCATACACATATTTGTGAGATGTTTATAATTTTTTGTTATTTTATTTTATTTTTGAAGTGTGTATACGTATATAAATATATGTATACAAATATATTTTATCTTAATAAATATGTCACGCACTACAGGATGAAAGTTTTAGCAAATAGGAGCTATGTAAAATATAAGACTTATGCAGCAGTTTATGGACAAATAAAATCATTATGAATTCTTAAAATCAAACCTGATAGAAGATTAATAAGGAACGAAAAACATAAATGTTGATCATCTAATAATCAGTGCTAGCCTCAGAATTTGCTCTCAATCTATGTCTGAAGAAAACTTGCTGTTCTGCCTGGCCTAAAATTCTTGTATTCTTCCAATAATTTAACTGGGTGATTATCCTTTCCCCCCCTTTTTTATAAAAATTTTTCTTCTCTCCTTCGGACCTGAATTCTTCACTATACAGATTTCAGACCAACAAGATTCTCAATAGCTTATCAACTTTTCTTGGTGCAATTACGCTTCCTGAACGTCTTCTTGGCACATCCATAGTTTCTAATTGATGTGTAGGAGGATAAAGTTAGGAAGGATTAGATAATGGCACAAACTATAAGATCTATAATAACATGACTAGGAAGAAGGCAATAAAGGGATGACAAAAGAATAATAAGACAAAAAAAGAGAAACAGTATCATACCAAAGTGATATGTTCATATTATCAAACGACTCTTATCATTAAAAGGAAAACTAGATGAATCAAGAGCCACAGTAAATCTTGATCTGAAGAGCAAAATAAAACAAAATAAGAGCACACAAGAAAGCACAACACTGTTGAATGTTTTCAGCCCCATGATTTGAAAATGTTTGGGTGGTTGCACCTTGTTGATGTCATGAGACTTTTAATATGACTGCATTTGTTTGCCATACATATTGCAGGTTTTTTTTTTTCTCTCATATCACACGTTTGATTACCTTGGTTATAAATGGAGACTAAGACCATGGCATCTATCTACTTGCATATGCAGATTACACCAGTTGGCACTTGAAGGTTCAGAAACAACCCAGCAGTATTAGGAATAAATTGTCCACATTTCCAACATATAGAAATCAGGGCAGAAGCCAGAAACAGAGAAATTACTGGTTGGATCTCATTAAGGTTCTGTTTATGGCTACCTCTTAAGTTTATTCTAACAGACAGTCATTGTGATTCTCATGGTGCATCATGACTTGTATCAGTTAGATACAATGTCACTTCATCAGCCCAAGGAAATAGCAGTGAGTTGTATGGAACTACAATAGTGTTGGTACAATAGTGGTGGTACAACTAGAAGGTCTCAGGCAGTTTACTGGAAGATAAATCAAAGAAAACAAAAAAAAAATCACCAATATGACTAGATAGCACCTGTGAGACAATAAAACCAAATATTCTAAAGTCTTCAGGATTTGATTATGTACTCGGGAGGATGGCATCAGAAAATAAAGCAGAGAAGAAGATATTCTGATAACACCAACAAATAAACACACCTTCTTCTGATCGCGTCAATTGAATCAGAACCGGGCATCAGAGATCCATCTAATGTGTCACCTCTTGTATCAGCAGAGCTATCAGATATTCTTCCACAAAAAACCCAATGAAATAATGAAGCAATGGGGTCCAATACTGGCCTGCAAATTCAGTACAAATAGGATACTTAGAGTACATCTAATGGATAGAATTCAAAGATATACCAATGGAGCATAAATGTTACCGCAAGAATTCAGGGAAGAAGCTTGAAAATGAGAAATCATCACTTGGATCTCCCTTGTGACTTGTTTCTGGTCGCCTTTGAAAGTAACGCAAGTATATCCAACTCATATATATGCCAAATAATACAGTTGGAAGGTAAGACACAGAATCCATTGTGAAGAAGCTTGTGGCAACTGAGATCAATGCAACGAGAGTTGGCATCCACTGAGAAGCATGGGAATAAGAAGTAATAACTAATGTGTTAGTAAATCCCTGGGACAATGAAAAAGCATATATACCAAACCCTGAAAATTACAAATGTATACCTTTGCTTTGATCTTTAAAATAAAAAGACTGAGCTCCTGATCTGGTAGAATTTGCTTCAAGCCTACAAGAAATCCTGAAAGGACCCCATGGAAGCCAGAAAATGCTGTATATCTGTGGAACAAGTATGTGGATAGGGAAAATGAAAAGGGTACAATGTTCATAATTATAATGAAATTAAGTAGCGGCATATGTTCTAAGGCACAAGACTATGTTAATCATCAATGCCTATCAGAATTTGACATAGAACTTTGATGAATGCTGAAGCAGAATGATTTTTGTCCATGTAGGAAGCCCAACTTGATCAAGATTGAATTAAGATATCAACCATATATTGGTAGAGCTATTAGATTTACATGTCCATTTATAGCTCTATGTGTGCGGTTATAGCAAATATTATCCTGCCATGGAAACCTTGCTAAAAATGACTGTTATCATTTGACAGCTTATAGTGCATGAACTACAACAATCAAACTTACCACACGATCATAACTCACATTGTTTTAATTTATCGAAAGTTCACCCAATAACTAAATCTGGAGGGAAAGAAAATATTTGTTGATGTACAATATGCTGCCAAAATAGATAAAACTGGACCTTTAGAGAGCTGAGGCTTACAGATAGCTTTCCTGTCTTGTAATATAGTACAGAGCAATAGCAGTTACAAAGACGCAAATCGAAGTTAATAAATTCACCACTATGATGAACTTTAAGAACTCCTTAGAACCCCACAATGGCTCCAGCCACCTCCCAAATAAAAGAAGACCAACTGTGCTGATTGCCACCTGTGAATACAACATTAGCCATATTAAAGTATATTCCATATAGAAAACACATGCTGCAATAATGAGACCTTGTGAATAAAACCAATATCCAACGTTAGTCCACATATGCAGTTGACCAAAGTGTGATAAATATTAACTCATTTTGGTTATTATTTTGAACACAATATACATTTTTACTGAATTTCTTTGGTATTATGAAATGAGTAATTGAGAGTGTATCCTAGAAATGAAAAAAAAAAAGAAAAAATATATCAATATGTACTGACCCATCGACTTTCCTGGAGTGGACTTAAAATGAGTTTGGATAAGCTTTCCCTATCCTTAAAATAAAAAGAAAATGCCTTAACTCAACCTCTCAAGAGCTGTAATGCCTTTCCAAATTACTAGTAATAATTTACACAAGTTCATACAGACAAGGCTATTGTTTCCCTTTCGAACTCTGTACTAAGGAATTTCAACAATGCATCTAAAAGAAATAAATATAAGATGTAGAAGGATTATCAACAAGAAATCCTCAGCAGAATTACTAAAGTACACCTAACATGTGTTCAATGATAAGATATATCACATGGAAACAGAAACAAAAATATGCTAAAAAATGTGTAAGGGCTGGATTGTTATACCATGTCACAGCAGAGTAGTGGCACCTCACTATACAATCCCATACATGTAGCACAACCCTATAGTGACTGCGATAGGCCAATTTGACCAAAAAATTAGCCTAATCATATGTCGCGTCTCTGACAGAAAAAATGCCACATGCCCATACATGCTTGGCATGGCATGCTTTGTTTCATGACAAGCTTGAGTGTGTAAAACGCTCCTTCTCAAAGATAACCATGAGAAGATTTAATAAACTAACAGCCAAAGAGAGAGATTTTAAAAAGATTTCGAATATTTGAATATTCAATCCAGAATTCCCCGAATACCCAATAAGGATAAACATGTGATTAGTACTTACAAGCTACATGTTTCAGAAGGTTTTAGACAAACAAAGAAAAATCAAGCTTAAAAGACTTTCCTAATATCCATCAATAAATTATACTCATTGAGACAATAAAGTTACATGAAAATTAGAACCATAAGAATCCAATAGTCATATTTTAGATGAAATAATACTCATGATCATAAAACTCAACCAGGATAGTACATAACACCTGATATTTACATGTTTGACCGCGAATGAATAACGATTCGCTAAGTTAGGTACCACTGGGTATTCATTTTTTATTTATTTTAATAAAATCAGGAACTACATGTTGGTACACACTGATATGATACTTATTTAATGGAAACATAGATTTTGGTTCTGGTCCAAGACTTAAAAAAGTAATGATAATACTCAAGACTCTTGTTTAGAGACAACTAGCATCATTAAGCCTTCAATTGCTTCCACTTTGCAGAAACTGGATCGAGATTTAAAACTACGATACTCAAGACTACTGTTCTAAAAATAACTATCATCACTAACCCTCCAATGTCTTCCACTTTTCATTTTCATATCCATTATCTAGTCCACCACTTCTAACAAAAATGAGGACAATGTCATGAGCTAGTATAAGTTCTTGACCAGAAACCAAATTTTCAGAAAATGATTGTCAGTCTACTAGATTTTGTCAAATAATTTTTACTCAAACTTCCTCACATACCAGTCCCTTTGATATGTCCAAATTCCCTACCCAACATCATCATATCCCTTTCACATTGTCAAATTACCTAGCCAACAAATCTCACCAATGGTGGGGAAAATTGAAATATGGCATTTTCACCTAATTCTTCTATCATCTGGGTGCTTTGCTGATGTTTGTCTAATGCTGACATTTTCACCTAGTTTCTTTTTTCTTGGCTCAGCTAAGCTTAATCAGATTGATTCCTCCATATTATAGATCGATTGGCAATGAATTGAAAAGAACAGACTAAAATTGGCCAATTGAGACCAGCAATTGTGAAAGGAAAAAGTGACACGATAGAGAGGAAAAGAAAAGCCAAATCTGACTGTCACTAGCAAAGGGGGTAATTACATATTATCCCCTATAGTTAACTATGATTAGCATCTCAATTACACACTTTAAAAAGTAGCATCGGGGTCCCTACACTTACGAAGGTGAAACATTTAACCTCAATTCTTCTTACGTCGTTAACTTCGACGACGGAAAAAATCACACGTATAAAAAAAATACGAATGAAAAGGATAAAACATAATTTCATTATCTTTCCAAACTGCTCATCTGCAGTCTAGCGCGCCTTCCTACTCGCTCGCAGTCTGTCGTGCTTTCCTGCTCGCTCGTTGCTCGCCTGTCGCACCTGCTCACCCGCCGCACCCACTTGCTCGTCGCACTCGCTCACCCATCGCTCGCCCGCCGCACTTGCTCACTTGCCGTACCTACTCACCTGTCGCTCGCCCACTGCGGGCAAGCGAGCGGCAGGTGAGCAAGTGCGGTGGGTGAGAGGTGGCAGAGGGGCGAGCGAGCAAGTGCGGCGGGCAAGCGATGAGCGAGCAGGTGCGACGGGCGAGCGATGAGCGAGCAGGTGCGACGGGCGAGCGGCAAGTGAGCAAGTGCGGTTGGCAAGCAGCAAGCAATAAGCGACAGTTGCGATGAGCAAGCAGGAAGGTGTGGCAGGCTGCGGGCGAGCAGTTTGGAAAAAGGAGAAGAGGAAATCGATAAAGTTTATATAAAATTAATAATTTAAAAGATTGAAATTACATTTTTATCCTTTCCATTCGTAGTTTTTTTTGCACATGATAACACATGCAATTTTTTTCCGTCGAAGAAGTTAACGATATAAAGAGAATTGGGGTTAAATGTTTCACCTTCGTAAGTGTATGGACCCCAATGCTACTTTTTAAAGTATAGGAACCGGGATGCTAATCATAGTTAATTATAAGGGGTAATCTATAATTACTACCTAACAAAGACTATAGGATGAATAGGAACAGGAAGAAAAGATACTAACTTCTAAATGGACAGTGCTGCTTGTCAAGATGTTATCACTCGCATCAGCTAATCATAGACGCAGTGAGAAGAGAGAAGGAAAAGGGACAAAAAAAGGGGAAGAGGGAAAAAAATTAAGGTTTAGGAAGTTTTAAGTACATGCAACGATTAATCTCTAACAAATTGGAGCCAACAGATCCAATGGTTTTTCTAAATTACATTCAATTATATAAATCACAAAAATAATTTTTAAGGTTTTAGACTTCTGTAAATGTATATTTTTCTAACGTAGCATCTATCACTTTCATTTTTTAATTTATAATTTGAACTTCTTTTAGCTACTCATGATCTAACCAGAATTCTAAGGTCCATCAGAATTTTATTACCTTTCTTTCGAACCTTGATGCTAGATTTCTCAAGATCATTTGAGATCCTTTTGTTTTAGAACATGTCTAGAACATGTCTGTGATGAGAAAATCTTCTGTCACGAGAAATCAAATAGTTCTCAGTTTCTTCTAACAATGCACATTTAATTTGTTAGTAATTTGCATGTCATTCCATGCAAGTGTCAGTATGGTGTGACTGCAGTCAGCTAGCTTCCTTGCCGACCACTGCCTAGTACAAATACACATTAAACAATTATAATCATTAGCTGACTTTGTCCCATCATATGATTTTACTGCTTTGACAGAGAGGTGACTTGCCTACTAAGATGCATTAACTGTAATTTTTATGGCTTAACTCAGTTGCAAAAAATGCTCTAGAAAGTAGGCCCTGATCTCTGACAGATGCAAGCAACACTAGGATGGGCATCAAATATAAATTATAGGCCATGAATTTAGCATTAAATACAATCATCATACTCTTGTTTACTCTTTCTATTCTTAAAAGAACATTGCCAAAAGACTGATGCAAGAGAAAATAAACATGCTCAAAAACAGAATTTATGATGTTGATAATATATTTCAATTATACACATTGCAAAAGAACAAAAGATGACAAATAATACCCCTAAAATTGATTGCTCAACATAACCAGCGGTGATAAGGTTCCATGCAAATGGAATTGTCCTACAAAAGCATTATCATAAGCATTATTACATAAGCTAGTTGGATCAGAAATTAGTAGAAAATATTCTGTTTCGTAAAAATGAAAAATTTGGATCAAGGATTAACAGACAATGATGATGTTAAAGTGCCTCTGTTGAATAAAAGTAAAAATACTACAACTCCAGCATATAAAAGAAAATAAAGAGATGGCTTCCATATGAACTGCACATAACACTCATCAAATACTGAAAAGGACTTTTGTCCATCAGAATGGTTGTGTTTTGTTCCCATTATTTTGTTATAAAAAGATGGAAATAACTGGTACACCAATAATGCAAGATAAGATTTTCACCTCAATACAGACTTGTCAATTTGATGAAGAATACTATTGTTAAGCTCAATTTTATATTGTTGATCTCTTTAAAAAGCTTGAATCTCAATAAATTTGTCAGTATGAAAAGATGGAGAAAAGGTGCGGCTGACGTACACCAAAAATGCAGTTTTGACTTTAATGTAGACCTGTTACTGAATACGCAAAGAAAAACCAACTTTGACCTCGGCAGGTGAGCTGCTGAAAGAGTGTCTGGCCCTTAGAGACTTATGTTTGTGAATCAGAGAAGATCCTACTACTATTTTATTTATTACTCAAAGTAATCATCATAATCGTCGTCTGCCATCTTTGTCACAGTATTCGTCATCCACGACCAGCAAAACAAAAAGGAAAGAATATTGGGAGAGAAAATGACAGAGCAAGACAGTAGTCCTTAATCTCTTAAGTAGACATATGTCATGCTATTCATAATTAGTCTCAAATTCCACAGGACTCTCTCGAAATTATTTTTTTTCCTTTCTCACATAAATATTTTTTGTTACAAATTCTTTTAAATATTATATTACAAAATAATATTCTTCATGTGGTAACAAGCGGGAAAATTAGTGCCTAACTAAACTTTGGCATCCATGATATCCTCTAAGATACTACCTTTATATGTTCAGCATAAACAATTATCTTATATCCTCATCCTCTTTCTCTCGTTTCTCCTTTCTATTTTCTTTTCTAGTAATAAAGATGCCAAATGTCAAAGGATGGAACCACTAATGATAGTGCTTCTCTCTCCTTCCCTAACAACAGCACTAGAGAAGTATATGTTATAACCCAAGGGTAATGGCTAAACTATCATAATTGCCACCACCAAACACCCAACAAATGTTTTCCTTTAACATCAATTAAATGTACCCACTAATCTAAATTTAGGACAAAGCATCAAGGATCACTTTTGAGATAAGAAAAAGAAATTTTGCCCTCTCCTGGGAAGAAAGATGGATTTCACAGTGTCAGGAAAAAGTGTCAAAAATTAAACAGATATTCTGGATAAGAATTGTAGTATTCTATATATATATATATATATTATCAAATGTAGCATATAGGTGATTTTATTACATAATAAGCTATCAAAAAACTCCAATTGATACCTCGAGGGAATAAGGACTACATAAGGGAGAATTGAAGGAAAGATTTGGAGCAAAACATATCCTCCAACTAGAACCACAGCGAGGCCTTTGCACAATCGGGTGAATCCTGCATGAAATCTGCTGCCCTGCATTTAGAAAATGTAGCAGATATAAATTTATGACATCTCAAAATGTAAAATAGATGTGCAAAAGGCAATCTTCAATAACTGAGAACATTTCAATGATAATATTAACCAAGAGCAACCAATGAAGAACTATCAACAATTGCTTTAGGAAGTGCAATAATGAAAACGAATAAATGCTCTTGTTCGTTTCTTAGTGAACAAAAATTTTGAGCATTTCACAGTATTAGTCAATGTCTGTTCCTATTATCCCTCTCTTGTAACTATCTTCTGCTTCACTTTCTTTAACCATCATCTCTTCCTGAAACACCTACAGGCCATGCCCACACACACATGTACAAGAAAAGAAAATGTCTCTTCTCGTTTGTATTTTCCCATTTAAGTCAAGGATTCAAGCTAGAACGCCACAGATTAAAAAAATTAGGCCAACATTTGCGGATACTGAATCTGAAATGAACCATATATACTTATCGTTTTCGTTGAACCCTTGGTGTTAATCAAAGAAATACACGTGCAACCTCCTCTTCTTGCTTAGGGCTTATCAAAAGAGCATAAATCTACCAAACATCCGACCCTGCTGCTTCCGAATCCATTGAAGCAAGAAGCGTGTAGTTCGAAAGCAAAAAACTGCAAATTGGTTTCATTCAACGCTAAAATTTAGGAAGCCGTCCTAACCCACGAATCGCAATCACATCCCTAAGAGGAAAAGAGGAATCACAACGAACTATCAGAACTGGACCCGATCCGGCGGACAAGAAATCAGATCCAGCGCTAAAGCCCAAGATCCAGATCAAGCAACCGCAGGGAAACGATGAAGAACAGATGAGAGAGAGAGAGAGAGCGCATCTTACTCACTCCTGTTTGAAGCGGCTGAGGGGGAGAGGAGCTGCTCAACATCTTCGCTGTTGAAGATCCGTTCCCGTGAAACAAATGTCAGCGGTGGGGAGCCGAGCGATACGACCGTCTCTTCTTAGCGTCTGAACTGAACGGTAGTTGAATCTCGATTGAGTCGAATAGGCAGTAATTATGAGTTATTTGACTCGATTGAATTAAATAAAATAATATCAACGTAATAATATCTCTCCATGACCTGCGTGTTATCGGAAGAATTGATTCTATTATTATTATTATTATTATTATTATTATTATTATTATTATTATTATTATTATTATTATTATTATTATTATTATTATTATTAATTTTAATAATAAATTTAAAAAAGAAAATTAATTAGAAAAAAAATATATAGAGAACACATGTGTTCTCCGTTTCCACCCTATTTAAATGAAAAATGAGATGAGAATGAGGGATGTTTCTTGTCCTATTGATATCTCTAAGGTAAATCTTAAACTTTATTAAGTTAAATTCATAACCCATAATACTACATTAGAATATGTCTAAGTTTATTTTATATTTAGATGATCGCCACTAGAGTTAGAGATATCGTCCGACAGAAGATGACGCATTAGAGAAATGATGTATTGGCTGAATAAATATCAACTGAGGATAGGATATTGATGATCGTCCACTTGTCATAATCTTCGATATAAATGTAACAATATACGTGAAAAAAAAAATGTAACAATATACATGACAAAAAAAAAAAAACGTTAGTGTAATATGATTGGTCAGTGAATTGTTACACGATTAATATCTCTCCAAGGTCATGTATATCATTTAATGTAATATTTTTTTATTTAAAAAGTATAACTAGTTAACAACGGTGTCGAGAGGGAAGAAACAATGAGAAGAGGACGACGAAAGGAAAGATGATGAAGGGAGGTGTTGAATTTCAGATTTTGATGATAAAATTAATTAATGAAAATATGATCTAATATGCGTTTGAACGGCACAGGACTAACCTCGATTAAGAAAAGACAAATTGATTATCGCAAGAAGAATCAGATGTTGGGTCGGAATAGAACATGTCAAAAGATTGAATTTCGTGACGGAGGACTGGTCAACATGCCGGAAAGACTTCATATCATGAGTTCGGGCATCGGGCTAAAGAATTAAACATTGCGCCAAGGAGATCGGAAGTTGCAGGAGTTAACATGCCTATTGGGCGATATGCCGAAGGAGAGGATGATGCACCGAAAGATCGGACGAAGCGCTGAATGAGCCAATGACATGTTGGAAAACATATGATTTGTGTTTGTAATTAATTGTGTCTAGATCAAGTTAGTTTAAGTCTAATTGAATCGGTTTTGGAATGAAAATAATACCAACTCAATTAGGGATCAATTATGCTTGAATCAGGGTTGAATTGGGCTTGTTGTTTAGCTTATTCAGTGACATATAGTAGGGTCAGGCGGTGATACCACCCAGACACACTCTCCTAAATTATGTCAAGCGGTAGTACTACTAGACTAAGCGATGGTACCACCCAGTGTCAATGTGTCAAGCGATGGTACCGACGGTGGTACTATCCAGTGTTAGTGGTAGTGTTAGTGCTGTAGGCGGTGGTACCACCAGAACACGAGAAACCCGGGATGAGACCATTTTGACTTCAAATTTCAATCCATTTGGGGCCTATAAATACCTTACTTGTCCCTGCTTGATTTATACATGAAATTAAATAGTAAAAAGAAAAAAAATTATCGATTAAAAATTGTAATATCTTTAGATTAGTGAGTCTCTTCCTCCTAGAGTTATAAGGTTTCCAAGGGAGGAGTGAGGTCTAAAAGAGAAGTGTAAAGGTTCTCTCCCGATGGAAAAGAAAAAGAGTTATAATGGTAATTGATCTTCGCTCGTTGAAAGAAGATCGATAGTAAAAGTCGGTAGCCTCAAGAGTGGACGTAGGTCACAGTGACCGAACCACTATAAATCGGTTTGCATTTACTTTATGCTTTTCATTCTTATTACAAACTGATTTACTTATTCACTACACTTACGAATGATTTCAAATTAAACGTCTTTCCGATACGAGCTTTATCGAACGAAGTTTTTCAAATCGATAAAAGTTTTACGTAAACTCTAATTCACCCTTCCCTCTTAGTGTCGATTTCGATTCTAAAAAGAGGAGGAGGAGGAGGAACCAGGGGGAGGACATGGAGAAGGGAGAGAAGGGGAAGAAAGAAGGCAAGGTAAAGAGCGGGTGGAATTAAAAAAAAAAAATCATTTGCAATACTAATGAGCCTACAATTTAAAAGGGAAGAAACGAGGCAATAATAAAGAGCAGGCGGAATTAAAGAAAAATAATGAGCCTGTAATTAATTATTTTATTCAAATTTCAATATACTGTATTCATACTTGATATATTTTAAGTCTAATTTATCACAATCTAACAACGTTTAACATGAGTGTAACAGTATGTTTAATTGTCGATCTTATAAAATCGAACGATTATAACATGATACTTAGTTATTTCATCATCTCATCTCATCGTTACGTTTATTTGTGGTATTCGTCATCGAGCTTCATACGTCGTGATCGACACATTGTTTATAGAAAACGAGTCCTGCTGGCTCGAGGAATCGGTTTCGAGCGGCCTTCTCGTTGCAACAAAGCCCGGTCGCCTCGGCTGCGGCAGCAGCGAGACGACGCTTCCCAACATCAAAATCACCGCCGACATCGTCGGTCGGTCCTCCGGCCGCTCCTGAACGCACAGAAGGCCGACCTTCATGCACCTCAAGACTTCCGCCTGGGGATACGAGTCGCCGATGGCTTCGTCGACCAAGTCGAGGCCTTTACCTTCTTTCCATAGGCGCCACGTCTGAAGGCAATCACGGTTAGTGGCACAGCGAGAGAGGAAGACGACGATGAGTTATTATACTTACGTATCCCAGAAGATTGAGTCTGCGCGACGAGTCATAGATTCCTCTGTTCTTTTTGCCGCAGATGATCTCAAGTACCAACACGCCGAAACTGAACACATCAGATTTCACGGAGAAGATTCCATCCATGGCGTATTCGGGAGACATGTATCCGCTGCAGGAATGGTGAGAGTAATCAGCGTTTCTGATTCTGCTGGTCACGATGCACATGCCAATACAAGTTCATGTATTATGTGTTCTTGAAGTCTTACTATGTTCCGACGACTCTCTTGGTGTTTACTTCCGTTTCGTCCCCTCCAAATATCCTTGCCATGCCGAAGTCAGATATCTTAGGGTTCATGTGCATGTCGAGAAGAATGTTGCCAGCTTTCAGATCCCTGTGGATGATCCTCAATCTGGAATCCTGATGGAGGTACAGAAGGCCTCGAGCAATCCCAACTATGATGCTGTAACGCGTTGTCCAGTTCAGCAACCAACCCTTAGCTTTATCTGAGCAAAGATTCTCGTGATGAGTGATGAATGGAGATGCAAAATGCCATGAGGAGGTGAAAGGATGAACTGACCACCAAAGAGGAAGGAGTCCAAGCTTCCGTTGGGCATGTACTCGTAGATCAACATCCTTTCTTTTCCTTGAATGCAGCAACCAAGAAGGCGAACAAGGTTACGGTGCTGCAGCTTGGCGATCAGCACCACCTCGTTCATGAACTCATCGAGGCCCTGCACCGATGTCTTGGACAGCCTCTTCACAGCTATCTCTTGCTCGTCCTCCAGCTTACCCTGCGAGCTTCTGGTTGAGAGCAACTAAGTTGGTGAAACTGTAAACCGCGAGACTCGGTCGATTCCCTACCTTGTACACGGGACCAAATCCCCCCTCGCCGAGCTTGCTTTCTATGGAGAAGTTGCTTGTGGCGTCGGCGACCGTTCCAAGATCGAACAATGGGAGGTCCAAGTCCTTCGCTTTTGTTCCTTCATCGTTATGTCGCTCTGTCAAGGAGACGGCCATGCCTGACATACCTGCTGAGTGATAACAAGAGGTGATGAAGGATTCCTCTCGAGTGGTAGTAACAAGGTAAAGAAGAACAAGTGTTGATGGTACTTGTGCTGCTTCTTTTCTTCCTTCTCCAAACACAGCAACCGACCAAAGCTAGGATTAAGATGAAGAGAGCAATGATCACAGTGATCACGGTTAAATGGATCCGGTGATGACTTGATTCTGAGTCTGAAACATCAACATGATCATATGAAAACAAGAACAAAATTATATGTTCTCCTCAGATAAAAACCTTCGAGAAGCATGCAGTATATATTAGCATCATATTTTTAGTACCACCACGTTCAGAGATGTCAAATTCTCCTTGGACTATTTTTCCTATGAGCTAAATATCACAAATGACAATGAAAATTCCGGAAAAGAAGAGCTCATCAC